CACCATTGGACTAGACTGGAAAGATGGGACTAGAATTGTATAGAGAAGGGCCGGGAATATTCAGGAATGTTCTAGAACTTCGTGAACGGATCTATATACATATAAGGCAAACAGTGGGCCGAGAAGTCAGTCTGAATTTGAAATCGAACCAGTGAAGAAGAAATAACTTATAGACTACAGCAGTGATTTATAAATGTTAATTGTAATTATAGTTAAGTACTTCATTAAGTCATTGTTGTTAATTGCTAATTAGTAAATAAAGTAGTAAATAAGTGCTACCTGGACATTCAATCAACGAATCTATGATTTGAGGTGTTTGTGAGAATGGCAAATACGTGACAATATATTAACATTTAAAGTTTCCATATCAAATTTGCAACATGTATTGTGTATGATGACAAACAAAAAGAAAAATGTTCGCCAATATCCTGTAGCAATCCTCAAAAAGAAGTAAAATTATTTAAAAGACTAGATTAATTTTAATCTTAAGTTTAACAATGAAGACAGAAAACTGAGTGGCCTGCTTGCATGGGACACCCTGTACATATTTGTCATATTACAGATCAATTTTTTAATAAACAGGTAACAATCCGTATTAGGGCCATTTTTTATTCAATTATTTTAACTAATTCAATGTGATCTATCATCAGTCCTGGCTAGTATATCAATAAGAAAATGTAAATAGTGCCATGGATTATAATCTTCCATTAATAATACAAACGCAATAAAATTTCTACTTAATAATGTCGAAAGGAATACAATATCCCTTAAACTAAAAGAAAACAGTAATATTAAGCTATCCAGTTTTAAAATGCTTTTAAGAATTTTTAAGCAGCTTTATATAACATAATTAATAAAGCTTTTTTTTATCTTAATGGAACAGATTTAGTTTACTAACTTGTTTAATGACATTTCCTAGTTTCATATTACTAAGAAACATGAGACATACATCTCTAAAGTGCACCCTTATAATGTACATCATTTTTCATATAGCCATAAAGAAATTTTACTTGCGAAGCATATTGAAATTTATGCCCATTCTGCCGGGTTCAGTTCAGTAAATTTTAACATTATTAGTTTATTTTACGTGTCTTATAGGTCTTCTCTCAATTTATAATAGTGGAAAATTACTCATTAAGCTACATATTTTTCAGTTATCTTCTTTCCACTCAATTTTATGTGCTCTTGCATAAAACGTAACCCAATGACGAATATCATAGAGCTTATAATTTACGAAACAGATATTGTGACGGGACATCCGGGGTAAGACCCTATGGAACGCAGAGCCGGATTTAACTATATTGTTCGCTCGTTTACTTTTTCAGTGTAAGTTTTTGCGCTCAGTTTTGCTAGCAACGATTTAACTATTGTAGAAAAAAGTATTAAATTAAAATAAAAGTATTGAATTTATCGTATTGACTACATATACATCAGTTACAGTATTCAAGTTTGCTTAATATAAATTGTTACTACCCAGCAAGGACCGCGAGGCCGTATTAGCATTTCTTGCCAGGAAAGGATTGGTATGGAATATTAGTATAGAATAAAGAGATTATTTAAAAAGTATCAAGAAAACTTTAAAAACTAAATAAAAACAAAAAAATATGCTCTCAAAATAGTAACAGAAACAAATATTTTTCTCAACAAATGAACTAAAAATAAATTCAACATTTTTATGTGTAGATGTGCATGTTAGTTTTATATTTTATTGACATTTTATTTTTACTTGCATTTATAAGTGTATTTGTGTACATTAGATTTATAAGCATTTATCTACATTTATGTTTGTATTTCTATGTTAAGTATATATATTTACTTTGCATTTATATATGTAACTATATTATTTTATTTATATTTTCTGACATGTCAAAACACCACGGTGTATTTCTATGACCAATAAAGCATTCATTCATTCATTCATTCATTCATCCATTCAATAGTAAAGTTATTACTATAATAAAAACAGAAGGACATATTTTTGTCAAAATGAAAAAAAATAATATTAATAAATAATAACATCCTGAAAAAGAATATCTCTCAAGTACTGAATCACGAAAGCAAAAAAATGGAATTAAATAATGCAGTTGATATCACAAAATTCACTTAACTCACATCACTTCACTTTACCTCACCTCACATTGCTTCTTCGTCCGAATCCTCGTCCTTGTCACCTTCTTCTTCATTTTGATATGAAATACTATCCTCATTCAAATTTATAATAAATTTATTTCCACTATTTATATGAAATTTGGCAACGTTTACATAATCATCTTCAATTGTAATTACTTTCCTAATTCTTTTTCCCAATCTTCCTTGTTAATTTTCGACACTTCATTTTGAATTATATCTAAGACTTTTTTTATCGAATTTCGGAAAAATATTTCCTTTCCTGGCGTTTTTCTTCAATTTACACCAAATTAATTCAATCAGGTTGAAAATACAGAAATATGGCGGTAATCTCAACACTTTGTGACATACCTCTCCGCTACATTATCTATAATATACTTCTTCTCATAATTTTTCATTTGCAGGACTTCCAACAGTTGTGCTTTATTATAATTTTCCTCATAATAGAGATCATATTCCATTAAAAAAATGTGTAACTCCAGCTTAGTAGAACTCGTGTTAGGAATTTTATACAGTTGTCTCAAATGGTACTTCGCATGTCAAGAACAATAATGCTATTTGGTTTTAATTTTGGAATTAGTGTATTTTTAAACCATTCCTCAAATATTTCTCCTTCCATGTTTTTGTGGTAATCCACGTTACAGTCTTCCATGTTTTTTCCGCACAGTTTCAATACATTATCAACCCATCCATCAACTGATCCACAGTGTAATATAATCAACCGAGTCCCTTTATTAGGAGGCCATGAGATTGGTTGACATTTCCTAGATCCATCAGTCCATCCTTTTTTTACGGTGTCCTGAATTTCATTTAGATAATAAATTTATCGATTCTCCCTTCAGAGTTCTTTTATCTCCTCTAGATATGAGTTTCACCAATCCACTATTCGTCTACTTTCCTTATCGCATTGCGTTTATTAATAGCTTGATATTTAAATCCAATTTTTATCAACCAAGTTCCTAAAGTTCTTTTGGTATATTTTAGATGATAATCTGTTTCTTTTAATTTTTTTGTCTCCCACGTCAATTCTTGGGATTTAATTTTTCTGATACGTGTCGTAAAATAAAGTTCTTAAAAGTTTTGCTAACGATGTGTCCAGAGTTTTCGACTGACCGGCGTCGGATCTTTGTTTTCTTGGAAGCGCACCTTCTTTCACCAGTGTGTGTATTGTGGAACAGGAAACGTTAGTCAGAGATGCTGTTTCACCTAGTACATCCAAATCATACAAATTAAGGTCATCAACTCGTTGCTTCAAAAGATTATTGTAAATATTAAGGCACATTTGTTTCGCTTGCTCGTTCAATTTTAACCGATTTCTTGTTACTGAAAACACAAATGAACTTTTATTTTCTTTATCACTGTAATCACTATCACTTTCATTTTCACAAAAACAATAAGATGCAGACGTAAAGGCCTCCCATGGTCGAAACATTTTTACATCAAATACCTTCTTGAATTATTTTCAAAAAACACACCAGCAAATTAACAGATATAAAATAATTGTTACTCATATTACACTATTACACAACTCACTTCAACACGATAATCTCCTAAAAATATTTTCAAAAACACGCCAGCAAATAAACAGACATTAAATAATTATTTATCTTATAATATTATACTTACAACATATCAGTACTGCTAGAATGATTCGGTAACAAAATTAAGTGCAGCTCTGAAGTATCACAAAATGTAAGTGAAACTCTGCCTCGGTCGCGTGCCAGCAAAAACAACAATCATCGTTCTCTTTTTAACGTAAGCGGTATAAAAGACGGAAGATGTCATGTATTATATATTTCCCGCCCACATATCGCGTCTTGCTCCGCACGTCCCATCACAATATAGGTCTTGCTGATTTACTATAGATATGTTCCATGCAATAAGTTATATTACGTCGGGTATCAAGTCTGGACGGCACTTCGTAACAGAGTAACATTATAGCATTGCAGCGTCCCATCAGTTTTCAGTCTTTGGGCGTTGAATCAAAGATGTGACACGCACGTACATTTACTTTATGTGGTGTTTAAGGACATCTAATTTTTCTGGTTTTGTCCTAAAAAATATATATTTTTCATATAAGTCCACAAAATAATCTAGCGAGTTTAAGTCCTTGACCAAGGTGGTCATGTAACATATCCTCTTCGACCTATCCACTGTTATGGATTACATTTTGCATACCCCATATATGTGATTTGGGCCTACATTTACCGACATAACGCAGTGTTGCGAATGCTATATTACCACCTAAGGCTTCGTATAGGATAGACCAGACATCAATGGCTGGCTTACATCCCCGGAGATATTGCGTCCTTGTGAAGAACATAAATGCCGGATTTATTGGTACTATTCGTTTCCGACGGTTAGTCTAATCCAAGCTAACAATCTACATAGTCCTCCTCGACTATTAATAAACAAAGGTGGTGTATGTCGTCGAGTTAAACATCACCTTGAATGAGGAGGAAAAGCGGACCAAATATCGCCATCTCCAGTATGAGCTCCAAATGCTGTACCCAGGTTATACGCTCAAAATTATCATCCTAAAAATTGGTGTACTAGGAAGGTTAAAACATATGTTGCTCTCGCAATTAAATACCACACCGGCCAAAAATCTGCCGAGTAGCTGGCGGGCCAAATGCAGAAGGCGATCATTCTGGGTTCTCTCCATCTGCTTAGGACACATGATTCTGGGATCTACAACAATTAACCCTGCAGGATGTGGGTAGTTAGTTCGCCGGCGCTGACACGGGAGAAATCTCCGTAGTCGATTCTACCGATGAAGTTAGACAACCCCCGATTCCAAAGCCGAAGTTGTCTAGAAGGAGGTTACACTTAGTGAAATCGCGGACATACCACCATTCTCACCGATATTGCCATTACCGATGGCGGAATTTGAACCCGCAGCTACCACAGATAGATTTCTATTCACGTTTAATATCGCGCGCTCTAACCAATTACGCCATCGAGCCGGTAACATGGCGAACATTGTTTTCACTTTCTTTTAACAATTCACTAGTTCACAGTATTTCGAATATAATTGCAATTTGAGTTTTTTTAAATTTTTTATGCCGGACTACCAGATCATTTTTACAAATCAAACCCAAGATGAGTGATGATAGCTGTTCATTTTGTAATTGTACAATTATTTCTAATTTATTTTTTTATAAAATTGGTTTGTAATTTCGTTTAGTAATGTTTCTATTCCAAAATGTATGTGTTTGTGTGTACAAACATCTATATATTTATAATAAACTTTACAAATAATATGAAAACAATATATCATATTCTTTTCGTATCATGTGAAGGAAAATTACAAATATAACCATGCCTGCCTGCCATCACCTTCATTTTACAGCTTCATTACTTTTCGCTTTAGAATAATAAAATTGTCAACAGCAAACATCTTATTGTATGTAAATTTTCATCGGAATAACGAACGAAATATATTTTAGTAACTTATAACGCTTTACTTATACGAAATTCTAAATGAGATATGTAAATACATTCATAGGTTTTATGACATTATTATAAAATATTCGTTTTAACGGTTGAAATCCCATGTATTGACAAAATGTATAAGACATAAATTAAGTTTGGTAAGCGACAGGATTGAAATGGGATTAAATTATGTGACGATGAATTATTTTTATTATATCACTTATATTGTATTCATAGATTTCCCGGTCGTAGTTTTATTAAATAGTTCGCTACTATAATTTTAAATAAATCGGAATTATAAATACTAATGTTGTGTAATCGTTTGGTTCAATCCCAGGCACAAATGAAACGTTATTCGCACATTCATTTATTTAAATTTTATAATTAACACAGTTTTTGTTGTTACTAAATACACACTCTGTTTGGTTTTAGAATTTTGGTTAGTCCTTATATAGTGTGTACGGCATTTATTATTGACACATTTTGCAATATTACTTTGTGTTTAATACTTAATATACAAGTACAAGAGTGATTAAAGAATATTATTATATGATGGAGTTTTTTGACGTATCTGGGTATACCATCGCATTATGTTGCAGTAGGTCATGCTTAATTTGTTTGACGTTAAAAAAAGGCAATAAAATAAATATCTAGGACGATTTCACTTTGTCTCTTATTACATTATGGCAGTTCAAAAACATTATTGTCATTAAGGTATTTATAAAATTCGAAAAAAGATGTTAATAATGGTTCACTGGTTTACGCAATATCGTGTGTTTCACGTTAATATATAAAACTGAATTAATCACAGAAGTTCAAAAACGACTTCACTTTTAATGTAATGTGCCTAGGCGTGGAATAATTCCATCAAGAAATATGATTTTGAACTGGTACCAGCATTTTCAAAACAGCAGTACCGTTAAATCGAATCTCAGGATTCGCAAAAGAAAAATTCCAAAATCATTGAAAGGATGCGCTTAGCTATACAAAAAAGCAAAGAGCTCTGCAATCTAACATGCACAGGCGGATGCAGATATCCAATTACAGTCTCAGACAAATTCCTGATAAAGATCTTGGAATGTATCCTTAAAAAAATTCAAATTGTGCAATAGCTCTTGACATTTCAAACAAGATTAGAGTTTAGTACTCAATTTTGCAACATGGTTGATGAAAATGCTGATATCTTAAATGATCTCATTATATCTGATGAAATACATTTCTATTTACAGGAAATGTTGACAGCAAAACTGTAGAATTTGGGGCCTCCGATTAACACCAATAAATAATAATAATTTTTTCAAAAGTTTTCGGTTTGTTTTTTTTTAAATGGGATAGGGTGTATATACAATAGTCAAGAAATGGTGCAAAATATATCCTACAATAATTTCATTTACATTTATACAATTGTGGAGCTCGCGCGCAAATCTCGCTAAATCCAATTTCAGATATTTTTTACTTTTTTTACAGATTCCTATACTTCTCAATGATCTCTACAAGACCACACTTTTCTTAAAGAGCAAAACCCGTTAAATCCCTTTTTAAATGGCTGCGAATATTGGGTTTTGGAGCATACAGCGCTAAATCCAATATTGGTACCAAAGCCCGATAAATCCATATTACTCGTTGTATTAAGCACAGTTTTTTAAAATGTCACGTAGATGAAGCTGAGTACGGCTTTGTAAACTATGTGCTTTCCGCTTTATGTTCGCACACTCAGCCGATTTTTATAACCTCATAGTTTTGAGTATATATTACCAATTAGTGAGTCTGAAAATGTATGATGCTAATACCACTGTGGGTGCAAGTAATGTGGGATCAAGGAAAAAGACAAACTAATAGAACCAAACGACAGGAGACTAATTTAAAGAGATACCTAAGTTAAAATAATTGTAACTTACCTGTTAATAATAATAATTATTATTATTATCAAGAAAAAACCTAGTAATTTTGTTTGTTTGTTCGTCAGAAATCACGTTTCTGCTCCTGCCGTTAAGTTATTCAAAAAGCCCTATTTCCACAAGGGTCCTACTTATTGTTATCAGAAATAAATCTTGGAGATATGCAAGAAATACGAACTTCTTTCAACGCCACTAATGACAAGATTCAACAAGATCTCAAATTATGCCATTTTTTGTCTGCCACTGCTGTCGAACGTAAACGACACATTAAGAAACAATCCAGAAAGCGAGAGTTCAGTGTAACATATTTCTTGACAAAACGACTTTCTAAAAAAAAGATTCCATGTTCTTGAGCGTATTTAATATCCATAAGGATCGAGTTAGGTGCGTAGCAAAAGTTTGTTTCGAGGATAAAAAACTTCGAGGAGGTGACAGAATTTCCGAGAAGCACATCGACAAAAAGCAAAATATCTGGAGATTTCTGGATGGGCTACCCGCTAAAGAAAAAAATCAAAACGAGTTTATCTTGATTGTAGCCTAACCATGAGAAAGCTATTTACAATGGTTAGTTAGGTTAGGTTTGTTGTGAGTGGTTAAACTCCATCATAAGCTATTTACTATTATTTTCACCCATAAGTTCAGTTCTTATAATAACTATTGAATTTCATCTGAGTTCCCTTCCAAATATTGAAATCGGATCTTAAAGAAGGTGTAGTGTGGTTGCCTTCTATTCTAGAAGGATGGGTTTTCCCTAGCGAGTAATAATATAGTTTGGACAGTATAGTTAGAGTTTCAGGTTTACCCTTTTAACTCTAAAAGTTTCTTATCATTTCAAAGGATATTTTAAACTCAATAATAATCTTAATTAATAAGGAGTCAATATAGATCTTAGAAGGATATAAGTATTGGTTTGGTTGAATGTGATCCGTCTCTTGCTAAGGAGTCCGTATTTATTATTATAAGATGGCCGGTACCAGACAAGTATTTTTTAAATATTAGAGTTAAGTTATAGTGGAGTTAACGAAGAAGAGTTTTTAGCTTGGCTATCTAAAAATTATGATTTTAAGATGATATATTATTTAAAGTTAATCTGAATACTGAAAAAATATGAGTATAAGTTTGAAATATCCTTAATTGGTCTTAGTTATTGTCCTTTCTAGTTTGAGTGTTAAACAACAACGTCTGCCAGTAGGTCGGCTTTCCGCACTATTTTTTGAGAAAGGATTTAAGGTAGTTAGTGGTCATAGTAAGATAGTATCAGAGATTCCCAGGATGCTGTGATCTCTATTATCAAAACCTACTCAAAAGGGGCCGTGTTGATAACCTCTATATAGAACAATTTGCACCAGAAGTCAAGACTACAAAATTCGACATGTTCAGGAACATTTTTGTCAATGAGTATAATATAGGAATACACCTGAAAACTCATACACTTTCTGCTTTGACCTGCAACAAGTGCAGCCTTTGTCCAGAACCCCCATCAATCATGCATTCTATTCGCACCAAGTTAGCTTGTATAACTTTTGTTGTGTTGACATAAAAGATAAAAGTTATACATTTTATATATGGATTGAAGTCTAAGCCGGAAGAGGTACTGAAGAAATGGGTTCTGCTTTGTTCTATCTTTTGAACAGCCTTACACTCACGGACATTCAGACACTGAGATTATTCTTCGATGGTTGCGGAGGACAAAATAAGAACTCGGATATAATCCACACTTTGTATTATTGGTTAAGATTCAAATCTCCACCAGGTATATCAGAATATCATATTCAAAAAATAAGAGACCTGTACTTTTTCTTGTTGGCATTTTTAATTTTTACGTGGTTGGGAGGGGGAGATGAATTTTTAAATGATTTTTTGTACATATATTTTGCTCTATTTATCTGATTTGTGTTATATTTTATATGATGTTATAGAAAATTGTTGCACATTTTTCGGTTAGTCTAATTTTGTAAAAATTTATAGAGCGCACTCTTTGCAGTTTCACCTAACAACAATATAACGAGTCTTTTTGTCAGATAATGGAATAAGAATTCGATGATATGAGGAAATTCAGCATTCAATTGTTTACAAAAATGATATTCTTATCACCATTGCCCAAAAATTAAAGGTGTTCGAGATAAATGCAAAAAATTTTACATCTGTATTATTTTAGATACGCCTAAGTTTAAAATCCACAGTAGTCTAAAATACAAATATTAAATTAGGAAAGTGATATCCGTTGATGTAGGTACATCAGCGACTCTCTTTATAATTCCGTTGCTTGTTTAACTGTATAGCACAGCAGTTCAGATTTACTAACGGTCTGAATTGCAAAACTGTCCTTTAAACTTACTAAACCAGAGATATGCGTGAATGACTGGAGATAATCGAGGTTAACTTTCGGTAGCTAGTGATAGCTTAGAATAATTGGTTTTCAAATCAACTGTAAGCTTATTTCCTGTACAAATTAGTTATAATGATCACGAGTATCGGACGCTGCGGTTTTTGCATTACCTCCCGGGCCCCCTAGTGGAATCCTCTTCAGAGATCGAGGTATAAAGATTTCACCGCCTAATGCAACTACCACTGAGATGGGACTCTTTCCAGAGATCGAGGCAAAAAGTCCTATCTTTACGTCAATACACAATAAAA